GCGTATGCGGCGACGACGCGACTCGCTTGTCAAGGTCATGTTGCTCATGACATTGCGAACTGGGGCAGTCGATGACGACTGCTGCTGCTGGTGCTGAACTGCTGGGTTCAGGTTGCGCGCGGGTGGGAGTTGTTGTCCCTGGGCTGAGCGCACGTCGCCTCGTGCGTCTTGTCGGCCGGTCCAAGTGCTCGGGTTGGACTGGCGAGGGCGAGATCGGAATTTGCATCGATCCGCCAGGTGCCCGAAATTTCTGCAACTTTTGCAGTAGAGGCGCCTCGGCCGTCGCTCTTCGTTGTTGTCGGCGTAGAAGGCGAGCCGTTCGCGTTCTCGTCGTGGCGCTGGTCGCTGCTGGTCCATATCCCTTTGTTCGACGAGAAGGGTGGCGCAAAGGGCGGCCTCCGAGATGACCCCCTGCTGTCGGAGAAGCGCCTTGCAGGGCCGCCATTCTGGGCCGAGCCCTTGGAGCACAATGTTGACGAAGATTTCTTCCGATATCGTGCTTCCCAACTTCACGATTTGATCGTGAAGGCTCCAACAACGGTTAAGATAGTTGTTGACCTTCTCCCCTGAGATCATCTTGGTTTCCAGTAGTTCCTGGAGTAGTCGGCTCGAGGACACGGGGTCCTTGGGCTGATACATGCCCGTCAGATGTCGCCAGGCGTTGAGGGCTGGAGCAGCTGTCGTTTTGTACGAACGAATGTTGAGCTGCTCCGCCGCCGACATATTCCGCAAGAGCACTCCGTACGCCATCAACGATTCGTTGTAGTACCTTGTTTTGGCGTCGTCGGTGTCCTCAGCAGGCTCCGCGTAGCTCTCGTCGAAGTAATGGAAGATTTGGGCGTTCTGCAGCAAAAGCTCCAATTCGAAGCTCCAGGTATAGAAGTCTCTGCCGTCAAAACAGGTACTAGACTTTATTTTTGATATGCTGAGAAACCTTGATTGAGCGGAGAGAATTGCCTCTTCACTGGGACGGGAAGTCTTGGGAGTTGAGCCATTGGTGTCGAGGGAGAATGTTTGCGGGGCGGTGTTTTGGCCAGTCGGGGCCGGTTGAGAGGGTTGCGAGGAAGTTCCCGCATCGCCATTCCGCAATGTCTGGAGTCCTTGCTCCAAGCTGGTGAGTCGCTGAAGAAGTTGTGCGAGAACTTCGGAGTCGATTGTCGTCGTGTTCCCGCTTGGCCCAGCCGGGTTGGGTTGTGCTTCAGCCGTCAGATTAGTCTGACCACCAGATCCTCCGGCCATCCTCGTGCGTGATCGTGTGCCGGTCGCCACTTTTCAGATGTCGTAATTTTCGGTAGTGACGGTGCGAAGGATTCCAGAGTCGCTCTCATACCATGCTGGGATCAGAAGTTGATCGTAACCCAGGATCTACTCTGGTAGGTTCGCACGTAGTGGGTAGTGTTGGTGGGCCCTTGATCTCAATAGCAGAGTGAATGTAAGATGCTTGAGATGATAAAACATGCAAATACAGCGATATAAATAAGAGTACAAGGGAATTCGAAACGACCTAACTAGCCATGTACTCTAAGGGGTACATTCCCTTATTCAAATGCATCCCAACCGTTTGGCGCGTACAGTTTCGTAACTGTTCCCGCCAAAACCATCCTGCCTGTAGTTGCCCGATGCCGTTTGCTTCCGACGGTTCAGATGTGTTGTAACCGTCCGACTCTTTGACTCAATTCCAACCGTCTGACGCTTGCGTTTGTTCCCGATATTGTGCGTGCCTTGCTACGGTGAGGAGTGCTTAGTAATATCGAATATTACTATTCGTAACAATGTGGACGGCGTGGAGAAGGCGCTACCGATGTGCAGACGCAGGCCTTCAAGAAGCATGAGGGTACTGCGAAGCATCGGTTAGCATTGCAAAGGCAGGACGACCTGCTGCAGAAAGTGGAGGGACAACGCCGCATCGATCTACACCCCAAGGCGCAGGACAAGGAGATGGTGCAGATGTCGGCACTAGCGGAGTCGTTGTACTTCATGAGCAAGTGCAACGAGCCCATGGACTCATGGATCCAGCTCGTGCGCTACCTCGCGAGAAAAAGGTGCCCGGGTTTCCGGAGAACGGTTACGGCACGTACTACAACACGTACGTGTTTCATGTGTTTCGTCATTTTTCAGAACATTGCCCTCACATTTGCATTTTGTTTGTCGCTCACTCCCGTGGTGTTTTTTCTATTACAGGTACGGCTTTGGTGAGCTGACTCAAGCAATCGCGACTTGGCTCCAAACAACGCAGCTGGAGCATCTTCTAACGAGTCCCTTCATCGGGATCACGCTGGATGAGAGCACCGATCGGCGATGTGGCAAACACATGATTGTGTTTGCCACCTTCATCCGCGATGGCGTTGTCGTCACCGAGTTCCTCGCACATCCCACAGTTGAGAATGCAGACGCCGCATCCCTTTCAGGCCTCCTCCTTTCCCACCTCAGGGTTGTCGGCGTGGACCTCCGCCGAATATCGGGCATGAGCACAGACGGGGCGATGGTCATGGTGGGGCAGCATACAGGAGTGGTTGCACGCATCCGAATGCTCATCCCCAACCTCGTCTCGTTCCACTGCATTGCACACCGGTACGCCTGGCTCTGCAATTTTAACAGCATGTTTAAGGTAGTGTTTTTATTTACCTATATAATCTTGTGTGTGTTTTGTTGCTTGAAGAGAAGCATTGGCTGCAAAAGCTGCAGCAGAGGAGATCCCCACCTTCAACATGGTCGACGACGTCATCCGCGCCGACGCGGAGTACCTTGGGCGTTCGGGTCCTTGGCACCAACGCTTCATGGAGCTCCAAGAGGTCTTCACATCCATGAACCTCGAGGTGCAAGGCATACACGAGGTTCGATAGCTGTCGCGGGGTGCTGCAGTGTCGCGCTTCGTCAAAGTCATGCCCGCCATTATTGTGATGCTTTTCGAGTGGAAGGACCAAACGATGTACGAGTTGGTAACTTCGTATCGTTTCCAGTTCCTTGTGAGGTTTCTAGCGGACGTGCTGGATCTACTGGACGTCCTCTCCAAGGTTTTCCAGCATCGAGAGGCAAGTGACGGTTCATTTGTTTTCCTGATTATTGTTTTCCTTAAGTACTGGTTTAAGTGACGGTTCATTTGTTTTCCTCATTATTGCTTTCCCTAAACCAGTGTGATTCGTGTGTGGCAGCTCGACTAACCACTTGTGCACAAAACCTCTCTCCTGGAGGGCCGCTACATCGACTGTGGCGATGATTTCGGCGGCGGCACCAGCGAGCATCTGTATCGGTTCATCGCCAAGCACGGGCCACAAGGGTTGCCGCAGATGGTGGTGGAAGGTGCCTCGTCGGACGGCAGCATGAACCGCTTCCGTTTCGACCTTCACGAGCGCAAAAACAAGGACTACCCTGGACCCGGCCATCATGACGCCTGTGTCGCACTCTGCACCGACATGGCCGAGCTGCTTGTCAACAATCTCCAGTCAAAGCTTGGTGACCTCGACTCGCTGGCTGGAGTGCGCCTCTTCATCCCGGACATGTGGCCACCGAACTGGGATCGGCAGGCTAGGCAGGCTCAGTGTCAGGAGTGGCTGTTGTCGCTCGCCACTCTGTTTCTTGCCGACGACTCGCCCGAGATTCTGCCAGGTTGGTATCTGCTTGGTCATTCGGTGAACACGTTTGACACTTGCCCTCTCGTATTAAACTAATAGGTACCCTCTCCATTGTTACTTATATCACAGGCATTGACAACAAGCGGGCGGTCAAAGAGTTGAGGACTCTTTGCCCGGTCTTGGCCAGAGCTCCAAAGACCGAGAGGAAGTTCCATTCGGGACTGGCAGCCATCCTCAAGACTCCCGATTGGCAGCAGGCATACCCCAACCTTGTCAACCTCTGGGTGGCAGTAGCAGTGTTGCCTCTCAGCACTGTTGAGTGTGAGAGATGCTTCTCTCGACAGAACCTCATCAAAATGTGGCAAAGAGGCAGTATCAAGGACTGCAGGCTAAGTGATTTGTTGTGCATGTCATTACTAGACTAGGAGCTAGATTTGCTAGGAGTAGTTAAAGTGTGGCGCAGCTACAAGAAGCGCCGTCCAGTCACAGCACCTGCTGCAAGACACAGGGACCCTCCAGTAGCTGATCGTGCCCCTGTAGAACGTTATCAGTCAGACTCTGATTCAGATATGTGAATGTGAGGGAATGTTTATAACAGAGGGTTTTACATTCCTGCATGATCAGTCAGAAATTTAAGATAACGCTGTTTGTTCAGCCTTTGAAAGTTGTGTGTCTCTGAATCTCCAGCCTAAAATTTTGAAGCAACACTGACAGACAGAGTAGTAGGAGGGATGTACGCTGTGCCATCAGCGTGCCTCAAAACGAATCTAGGGGCCTGGTTGGAAATATGAAGTCGCTAGAGCGCAGCGGAAGCTCTAGGAATTAATGACGTCCCTACGGCGGGGTTATTGGTCACTCAGAGGTAGCTCTCCTGGCTTGTAACGTGGTGCCAAAGCAGCGGCCGAGGGTAGGCCGGACACAAGCTTGAGAATTGTGTAATATGAGCAAGACATTACATTCTGTTATATAGCAAACACATAGGGCAAACGGTTACCAAGACGCAACTGTATAACAGTTGCGCTGCGTCGCTTGGGTTGCCTTGTTACAGTCGCGCTGGCGAGACTTTTCAGCTTCGGCAAGGGCGCGTTATCCTTATTAGAATGGACTAAGATACTAGCGGAAGCTTTAGTAGTCTTAGAACCTCCTCCTAAAGCCTAGGAATCCTAGGAGCCCACTTGGGCATGAACCATGCTAGAACCAAAGTGGTTTCCAAAAGTGAAATGCCAACAAGAGAGAACCCTAACCTATAGGGTTTGGGAGGTGGTCCACTCTAAAGAGTGTACACCACAAGTTCTCCCAACCCAACCAATGTATTCTACACTACCATAGTGTAGATGTACCACTACATATGTTTATTGGAGCAACCCGAATTAACCTTAATTCCAACACCCCCCCTTGCTCCAATAAGCATTAAAGTTCACCCATAAATCAAAATACAACCCCTCCAGCGAATGAAGCCTTGGCCTTCGCAGCAATCACTCGCATGCCGATGCGCTCCAGGTTCTCATGCAGCTGCAAGCTTGGAAGAGCTTTGGTGAGCATGTCGGCATCCTGGAGGTGGGAGCGTACTGAGTGCACCTCGACCTCCTGCTGGCGCACCGCATCCCGTACAAAGTGCCATGCCACCTTAATGTGCTTGGTGCGCTGATGGAGAACGGGATTGTGGGCAAGGGAGACAGCTGCCTCATTATCACAGAGCAATGGAATAGCCCCCCCATCCCCCACATGCATCTCTGTCAACAGACTCCACAACCAAATGGCCTCCTTGGCCCCCTCCGATAGAGCTTTGTACTCAGCTTCAGAAACGCTTGCTGCAACACTGTCTTGCTTTTTGCTATACCAGCTGATTGCTCCTCCTCCCAGCTTAAAGATGTAGGCAGAGCGACTCTTGCCATCAGTCTCACCACCCCAATCCGAGTCTGTGTACCCGACAACCTGCTCACCACCTTGGCGCTCATACCTGATGACACGATCAGCTGTGTCGACCAAGTACCTGAGTGCTCTCAGTGCAGCGCGCATGTGAATGCGTCTTGGTGCCACGCAGGACTGTGCAAGGGTGTTGACAGTGAAAGACATGTCAGGACGGGTGGTCACAGCAGCATACATCAAGCTGCCAATGAGACTCTGGTACACCTTGACATCAGCTGCAACACCTTCCTCAGTTGACCAAGTACCATTCCTGATCTTAGAGAGGTCATTGGGTGACATTGGAGTATGCACCCTATGGGTCTCCTTCAGCAGATCACCAAACCTTCCCTGGAGACCACGGACAAACTTCTCCTGACCAATCTCCAACCACCCATCCTTGACCGACCTGCGAACCTCCACACCAAGGTACATGGATACCTCACCTAGATCCTTCATCTGGTACCTCTGAGCAAGCACCTCCTTGACCTGACCGATCAGCTCCAAGCGTGGAGACACAAGCAAGAGGTCATCCACATACACCAATACATACACTGGCTCTTCATCCACAAACCTGATGTACAGAGCCTCATCACATGCACTGCGGTCAAACCCTGCTGCAATCAAGGTGGTACCAATCTCCTCATTCCAAGCACGAGGCGCTTGCTTGAGCCCATAGAGAGCTTTGCGCAAGCGATGCACCCTACCTGTACCATCATCAAATCCCTCAGGTTGCCTCACATACACTTCCTCTTGAAGGAGTGCATTGAGGTAAGCATGATCAACATCCTCCTGTTGTACATGCCACCCTTTTACCGCGGCTTCTGCAAGAAGCACCCGACCTGAGGTCAGCTTGCCCACAGGGGCAAATACCTGATCATAGTCCTTCTCAGGCTCCTGAGTGTACCCCTTAGCAACAAGGCGAACCTTGTGCTGTACCACCTTATCCTCCTTGTCAGTTTTCCTGCGGAAAACGTACCGGACCCCAATGGCCTTCTTACCTGGAGGTAAGTCAACCGGCTCTGGATCCCATACACCCATAGTGCGCATTGCATTTACCTCCTTCTCAGCGCCTGCCTTCCACGCAGGGCCCTCAGGGCCACGCAGGGCCTCAGCGAGTGTGCGTGGGACATCACCTGTGCTCACACCTGCCAGTGCAACACCTTCCACCTCCCTCGCCAAACATAGCATGCCCTCAACCACACCAGCATCCCCCCCTACCTCCTCACCACCTGTACCAGACTGGATACCAAGCACCTGCAAACCCGTAACCGGTGGTGGGGAGGTAGTCGCTGGTGACGGAGGGGCACCCGTAGAGAGAGGGATAGAGCGCTGACCAGAGGAGGAGGAAGAGGAAGTAGCCTGTGTAGCGGATCTCCGCTGAATGACCGAGAGGCCACTGAGCTGCTGCAGAGGGGTGGGCTGCTGCTGCACCGACACACTCAGCGGTGCCGGTGGCAGTGGTGAAAGTGGCATCTCAACGTCGTCAGCCGTTGCTGAGGGTGGCGAGAGTGGAAGAGGGAGGAGTTGGGAAATTGCAGCTGCATCCTGCAGAAGCTCCCCAAATTCCTTTGCCTTGTCCCAATCCTTCCACATCACATTCTCAAGGAAATCAACATCCCGAGCAATGCGAATGCGCATGATAGAAGGGTCCAGCATGCGCCAACCCTTGCTCTCCATGTCCACCCCAACACAGACACACATGACAGCCCGTGCATCAAGCTTGCCACCCTTCTCATGCCCATGCAACATGACACTCCCCATGCAACCCCAAATCCGAGCCATGCCCACATGCGGCTTCTGGCCGGACCACGCCTCCATTGGTGTGATGGAGGCAGGCAAAGCACTGTGGGTGACCCTGTTCTTAACCCACACGACCCACATCAATGCTTCACCCCACAAGCGAGCAGGGAGACCACTGTCGACCAACAATGTGCGAATCCCCTCTGCCATCGTCCTGTGCCACCTCTCCACAACCCCATTCTGTTGCGGTGTATCTGCGACGCTCAATTGAGTTTTAATGCCAAACTCCGCCTTCCATGCTTTTACAGCTTCCCCCAAGAACTCGCCACCCCTGTCCGAGCGAACAGCCTTCAGCTTCCGCCCACACTCCAACTCCACGTCCTTATGTCACTGGCGAAGGACTTTTGCAACTATGGCCGATTCCTTGTTGGGGAGGGGGAACGACCAAACTCGTCTGGTGAAGTCGTCAATGAGACTGAGGACATACACCGCTCCTCCCAGTGATGGTGTGCGCACCGGCCCCCACAAATCCATGTGGACCTCATCCAAAGGCCCAAGTGCCCGAGACGCCTCATGGGGAAACGGCTTCCGAGCCGACTTTCCCAATAAGCAGGGCTCACATGGGGAACAATCAGTGTTCCCCCCCCCAATCTCCAAGCCCAGTACACTGTTCCCCCGAGCCATCTGTTGCAATGTTGTGGGGGCGGTATGACCAAGGCGGCGATGGGCAAGGGTCAATGGGGAAAATGAGGAGGACGACTTAGCTGCAAGAGCACTGCCCTGTGTGCCCTGAGCAAGAGGAAGAAACATCCGCACCAATCCATGGTCCCTTCCCCTCTCCTTTTCTCCAATCGCCAACACCCGCTCCCCCCGTTGAATGACACATCTCTTGCCTTTGAATGTGACAATGACATCTCGAGAGGTGAGGTGTGGGACTGACAGCAGACGCGTGTGCATCTCAGGCACAAGGTGGACCTTTTGAATCCTCAGCAGCTGACCTCTAGCACCAACCACTGGCACCTCACCCATGCCAACAGCTTTCACCACCCGTCCATCTCCCAATCTAACTCCCCGAACCTCTGGTGGTTGAAGCTTACTTTTGAAGTCCGATGCATAAGGAGTAAAGTTGTGGCTGGCCCCACTGTCAATCCACCACCCCTCTCGCGGCTGCTCCTCTCCCACTGCTGCAACTGCTTCTCCAACCACTGCCTCTGCCTTGTCATCCTGCTCCTCCTCATCCGCCACCTGTGCCTTGCCGTTGGACCCACGACCCCCCCGCTGTAAGAATGCCGGAATGCCTCCCTTAGGTCGATGAGGACATCGCTGCCATGCATGTCCCTCATCCCAACAGCCATGACACAACCCCCGAGGAGCCATGCCCTTGGACCCCCAAGGGAAATCAAGCACTCCCGCTTTGCCTTTCCCTTGACCCCATCTGCCCGAGTTGGTGTCACTGCTGCTACCGCTGTCTCCATGCTTTCCTCCCTTGACCCAATTTCCCCTGCCGCTGCTGCCCACTTTCGTACCCGCTCCAAATGTGGCTACACCATCCGATCTTGGTGCGACACCAATCCGCATCTCCTCGCTCCTCAAGGAGGTAAGCAGCTGATCCTTAGTGAGCGATGATGACTGGTTGTTCAACACCACCTTCAGCATCTCAAAGTGAGGAGGTAGTCCTTTGAGTATCCTCATCATCCACTCCTCAACCTCCTCCTTTCCTCCTGCAGCCAAGTACTTGGACCTCAAGTCCTCGGCACGCGCCCAGTATGCAGCCACCCCCTCCCCCTCTTTCATCTTCAATGAAGAGAGCTCCTCAGAGAGTGCCATCCGGTTACACAATCCACGCTGAAGGTAGAACTCCTTCACTCGTATGTATGCCGCTGCTGTGCCTGCAGGAATTCGGGTGACCGCTCTTGCTCCGCCATCAACAGGTGCGCTGCCCAACTCGGTCTTGCCGCCGAACTCCCGTACCAAGCGAATTAGCTCATCTGGCACCAAGGCATTGCAGAATTGAGCGAATGCCTTCTGATTTTTTCTCTCCCACTTCAGCCGTGCGTCACCCGATGCAGGCCGCTCCTCCGAACCATCAAAGTACCCCCATAGATCGTGTGCCTCTGCCCATTGTTCGAATCGGAAGCTCCAAGTCCAATAGTCGCTCCCGTCGAACTTTGGCGTACTCTCCAGCTTCCCTTCACCTGAGTCATGATCCATTTGCGGCACACACTCTGGAGATTGACGTTGAGGTGGTGGTGGAGGCAACGGCGGCGGTGGTGGAGACGATGTGGACAGATTTGCCCCCTCTTGGTTTTTGGAGCGTAACTCCGCGCTCGAACCTCCGAATGATGAGCCGTTTGTCTCAGATGAATCTTTGCTCCAAGACCGTTCCGATGATGTATCGCGCTCCTGGATCCCGCTTCCAAGCTGTCCGCTTAAACTCGTCGAAGTTGGCCGATTTCCCGTCGACGAAGACTCAACCGTTTCTCCCGATTTTTGGCTTGTTGGATGCGCCCTGGCCTCCTCTATCGGCGTCTGGCCTCCAATCTTTTTTCCGCGCTTTAAATCTTCCCCGATTCGCGATTTTCCAATTCGTCCGCCGGCAGTTTTTCGCGAATTGCGTCCGATCCCCTCGTCGATTGGTGACGACCTTGGGGCAATTGTTGTAAAGCGTGCTGAGACCTTTCCAACGGTATGCTGCACGTCTTGATCGGCTAAAGTTGACTGAGCGCCTCCGTGGATGGATGCCGCTCTTCTCGTCCTCCCAAACGGATCTACACGATTTCCAGCAGTTTTCTTCTCTCCTCCTCCCCTCCCACGTCCAGAGTCCGCCACGGTGCAATTTCGGCAGCCTTTCGGTCAAGATCTTATGGTCCAATGTCTTGAGTAACTCCTTTTCCAACAGATTGCTAGGCCTTCCTTGCTCTGATACCATATTAGAATGGACTAAGATACTAGCGGAAGCTTTAGTAGTCTTAGAACCTCCTCCTAAAGCCTAGGAATCCTAGGAGCCCACTTGGGCATGAACCATGCTAGAACCAAAGTGGTTTCCAAAAGTGAAATGCCAACAAGAGAGAACCCTAACCTATAGGGTTTGGGAGGTGGTCCACTCTAAAGAGTGTACACCACAAGTTCTCCCAACCCAACCAATGTATTCTACACTACCATAGTGTAGATGTACCACTACATATGTTTATTGGAGCAACCCGAATTAACCTTAATTCCAACAATCCTGCCGCGCACCACAGGTGAGTTTCGCGTACTTTAGACGATGACTCCTGCTGTCGATTCGACTCTTGAGCTGCCACGCGGGTCGCAACCGCTGTGTTCGGTTGCGGCCCGTTGACTCGCCACCAGGTTCAAATCCCTCGCTATGGCGAGCCCCTGTAAGCACACTTCGAACAGTGCACTTATAGTAAAAGCATACAATCATATTCTCAACAAGAAGAACGTGGGTGAGGCCAAATGGCCAAAAGAGGGTGAGCAGCAATGCAACGCTGCCATTGCAGCATTAGCAATGGCTACACTTTCACAAAAAAAATTATGAAGAGTGTTTCACACTTTCAAAATTGTACATATTATGGATCACATCTTTCGCGAAGACTAAGCCCACATGCCTACTATCAACAACTGAGAAGATAACTAGTTGAGCTCTTTGCGGAGCACAAAATACAATGAACAAGCTAATTGGCAGCTCGTCTGCCTAAAGCAGTAAACGAAGAGGCTACAGTGGTGCTGAGTTCAACTGCCCGAGCGGTCTCGTCGTCCAATGAGCGCGCGCGGATGAACCGGCAGAGGCTGCAGTCGGTGTGGAGCAGAGACGAGACTTGGTAGTCGTCTACAGTACCGTCAATGAAACCGTCGGCGTTATCCCCAGGCACGACGTACGCGTTAAAGAGCTTGCTGTACACCAAGGCCTGCTTCTCCCTGTGGAGTTAAGGGATGACAGAAAAGAGAAAGAGGATACGGAGAATGAGTTCAGGACGCAAAACCTTACTGAATAAAACACCGGAACAAAAAACGGGTCTAGAGAAACTAGTGAAGTAAGCGGACACTGAATGAGGAGAACTGGGGCGACGAGAAATGCGGAAAGAGAGTACAACGAGACAAAGAAACGACGAGGTTGGAAGGAAGGGCTGTTAGAAGAAGCAGGGACTTACAATCGGCCGGCAAAGTCGGGGCGGTAAGTTTGGCCAAGCACGCCATGGACGTTAGCCGACAGCCTGGCGCTCAGAACCTCCACCGTGAAGTGAACCAGTCCGTCTTCAATCGTTCGCATCATTTCGATCTCCGGGCGAAGGGTCAGTCGTAACGAGAGGACGTCCGCGACGGTAACTTCGTATTCGTCAACCAGATCGCCACCGGAAGGCTTCGCACCAGCAACCCACTTCACCTCGCCTTGCCCATCGAACAGGTACATCTTCTCGCCAGGGAATTTGAGCTTCTTCGCCACGCCGTCGACGGTCAACGAAGCGAGGTAACCCTTGCGATATTTCGGGTCGGGGCCTTCGCGAGCCTCGAAGATGATGGAGTGGTGGCCCCAAAGGATCGCAATCTTTCGCATCCACGTCAGCGCCTTTCGCTCACTGTCCATCCAACGAGCCCAGCGCCCTCCGAAGAAGGCGTTCACTTGGACGTGCGAATCCGTAATCAGCGCGAAGTTTTCGTTAGGGATGCCGCTGAAGTCGAACCGAGACTTGTCCGCGCCAACGAAATGAGGATCGCCGGTAACATTGCTGTCGCAAATCTTGCCCACGTAGAATCGTGACTCCGGCTGGTAATCACCGGTTGTGTCGGTAAAGCTGTCCATCGTGTTGTCGGGGTTGAAGTGTTCGAGTGTGCACACGCCCTCATCGAAGCACGCGCATACACCTGCAAAAAATGAAAGGAAGGGGAAGGGAGGGGGGAAATAAATTAGGTGCCTTGTTTAAGATGCGCGGATGAGAGAAACTATGAATAGGACCCTGCACTTTTTAATATCCAATAACGACGCGAAAGAGCCTTGCCAGATGCAACGCCCCGCTGCTGTACCTGTAACATGTTTTTTAAACATTTGTACCATTACACCTGCTGGTCCTATCCTTACATTACTTTACGGAAAACGCAATGAAATTTAACACAGTGAGCGTAGTTTCGACTAGCCCTGCAGCCGCGCAACGCACCTCCAATGTCGCACGTCTCCTCGTACTGCCAGTAAGTCACGGGGTCGCTGGGGTTCTCCTTGTTGAAATCGCTGCACACCTTCCAGCAGTCGTAAAACGGGTCTGTCAATAACGGATCCCACGCCGGCGAATCCGTGTCGTTGAAGACAAACGGCATGGAATATTTAAACATGTACTCGATGTCCTCCGAGTCGCTATCGGTGAACATTCCCTTCTCATACGCTCCGGGCTTGCAGCCGAAGCTAGGGCAAGCCCCGAAGGCCGAGCCTTCCTGGCCAGGGTAGGGCTTTTTGGAGATATCGACGGCAGTTGCGGCGACCAGGCACGGGATGACAAGTGCTATTATAAATGGGAGAGCGCGACGCGGTTCCATGGTTTCAGAGAGATTACGCTAAACGCTCGGCGCTTCGGGCGGCGTCGACAGGACTATTTGACGCCTAAGACCAACTGTTACCTCTCTTATCTAGCAACCTAAGAGGAGAAAAGCAGAGAGTAGATTCAAGGACTGGTTGGGCGAAGTACAGAGTGGAAGTGGAGAGGAGAAGAGGAAAAGGCAGAGGGGAAATCACCAAATCCTCAGATCAGAACCAAGGGTAACCACCACCAGGACAATGTACTGTGCAGCACTAGTCATGGCATGGCACAGCGCCCCAGTGAGGCCGTCAAGAGAGCGGAGAGCACAGTCAAGAAAGCTGGCTGTCACTGTTCGGTTCGGCGGCTCCTCAGAGGCACCGCAGGTTAGTTTCAGAATAGGCGCCAGGCAGCTGGACATGTGGATGGATGAAAACGATTGGGGTTGGGAAGACAGCAGAGGACTAGCGTTGGAGTATCGGGTGCTTGGGTCTATTGGGCAGCTACCCATCACGTTTACTGACCAGTTTCTGATTACATGTGACAGGGGCTTTGTGTAGTGTAGTCAGCATTTTTTTCATGGTTTTGAACCGTGCAGGCCATATGACCAAGTGCCACCACCAGAAAGCCAAACCACCCTCCAAACCATGATCCGATTCCGTTCCGTAACTGTTCAGCAACAAAACACCAAGGTTTATCACTGGACGACGCGATGAAGCCAAGAAACAGTCCTTCGTAACCACTGTGTCAGGTGGTTTTGCTAGCTTCCTTTGCTGTCTTGTTCTTCATCGCGTTTCAGTGCAATCCACGCCTACCTGAGAAACAATGTGGCCAAGGCTACGCAGCTTGTGTCAGTATTAATCAAAACAACGAGGTTGACAACAAAAACGGGCGGTATATTTTGTCATTTGAATGCATGAAACGACAGGGCACGGTCAGCAGCATTCGACTCTCTGAGGTGTGATAGAAAGGGATCGAGGGGCAACAGCTTGTCAAGGCACTTCTTCCATAGTAGACGAGTACACCCTGTTTCTCACCTCTCTCACCGGCGGAAGCACTGGCTACAGTGTTTGGACGTAGCGGGCTGGTGAGATAAGTCGGTTGCGGGCAAAGTCGCACGAGGGTTTGAAACACGCCTTGGACGGTAAAACCATTAACGTTGAATAACCGTCCTGACCACTTTGAAACAGTACCATTGTAGAACGTAGAAAACCCTGACTAAACGCCCTGGGTCAAATTGTCACTGTAACGCATGTGATAGGACCTTCTTTGGTCCGGTGCGGCTACACTAAGCGTCTCTATCAGTATAACATATGCCAGTCTATCGAGAATGAGGGTGTACTCTCTCACATACGAGTTGTCATCATCTCAACTGTACATGTCAAGATCCGATATAAACAGGCTTGTGCTCATTGTAATTGGTGATAAGTGACAGCGGGAATGATCTTTCCCCGTAACTCTTACTCTTCTCTGACATTCAAAGGATGACTTGAATGACCCTCAAGAATACCGACTCGCGTTTTTCCTGTCATGTTGCACTATCTAATTACGTACAAGCCAGCTATTCAAATACTTCCAGTCCAGACGCGCTTCCAGCCATAATTTTCCACTTTTCCAAGATCGTAGTTTCTTCAATTCTGGCAATTTCGAACTGAACATTCGTCAAGCTGAGCTGCAGATGAGTACACACAGTTTTCGTGAAGTACAGGACGTGAGACATCGAAGCTCTTACCGACAATTCCAAGGGTTGCGTTACACCAGCCAGCCTTCGTAGCTTCTCCAACCGAAAGCCTTTATCCGGCAGACTCAAGCAGCAATTCTCGTTACTCTTCGAGAACATTCCCGAGGTGTCATTCAATCTTACCAAAGCGCATAAGCCATCATCAACTCTAAGCGCAACAAGGCTACGCCCTCAACACCCGCCAATGACGGCGCAAATCCTGGCGATGGATTGGTTCTTAGAACCCCCACATTGAGAAGCACGCCTTGATGCCACGTGTCACCTTCCTATTGGCGAGTCATGGGAGCATGTCTATCCACCAAATCCTCATCCAACGGTGGCAAACAGCGTACGTCAGGCTAGGAGCTCTCGTGCTCTCGTGACGTGAATTGACGTACGTCTGGCGTACGTTTCACGTACGTTTGACTTGAGAGTATCATGCTGTCCTGAGAGTACGTACGGAACTAACACCCGGCTAGGGTTTCACAATACGTTCCATTTCCACATTTTCTCTTCCCACTTATCTTGTCCAATTTTCCCTTCTGTTCTCCCCTGATTTCCTTACTTCCTAACCTGACCCACTGCCGCCATTCCAACCTCCCCCATCCCTTCCCACCGGTCCTTCCCCATTGCAGGCAAACCTGAAGCAGTTACCACTCTTCCCCCTCTCACTGCCTCTCTCTTTTCCGCTTCCGCCAATCCCTCTCCTCCTCCCCCTCTTCCCAACTCTCTTCCTCCCCCTAAGCCGCCCCCCCATTCATCCGCGGAACACAATTCCCAACACCCCCTTCCGCCCCAGTACCCCCGACCCGCCCAAAAGCTTCCCCCTTACGCCGAGGGCATCCCCCCTTCCGCGCAAGAGCGTCCCCTTTCCGCCAATCCCCCCAGAAGCAAGCCCCCCAGGGCTCCAGGGGGGACGCACCCGCGGAGTCTATCAGCTGGGGGAGAGGAGGAGGCGGGAGATGGAGAGGGGGGACGAGTGGGTACGGGGAGCACGCGCGGGGGGACTGGGGGGGATGGAGCGGCGGACCTGGGGGGAGGCGGAGGAGGGGGGATTGGGTCTAGAAGGAGATCCCCCGCCAGAATACAGCTAGGGTCGTCTTCACACAGGGCTTCACACAGTAGATCTTCATCAAATAGGTCTTTAAATGCCTATGTTGAGAGAGCATCGCCTGCTAGGTCTTTAGGGTCTCCTGTTAGGTCTATAGATTCTCCTGGAAATCACCACCAGCAGCAACACGACCACCAGCAGCACCAGCACCAGCAGCAGCTGCAAGAGGGATGTAAATACGGGCAGGGCTTTAGGGAACAACACCATGCGAATGGAAACGGGCAGAGGAACGGGCAGGTTCCGAAAAAACGTCCGGCAGGTGTCCCGCGGTCAAATTCATCTCCGGGAAAGTTTCTCGAGCTGCCCGACGAGGTCCTATCGGCAATTGTGCCTGACTCCCTGCTCCGGTTTTCGTACGATGACGTGGCAGCAGCCACCAATGGGTTTGCGCCAGCTCAGCTCATCGGGGAAGGCGGGTTTGGGAAGGTCTACCGGGGAAGCATCAGGGCGGAGTTGCTCGAGAGAGGAGAGAGAGGAGCAAGAGGAGGGAGTGGGGAGAGAGGAGAGAGAGGAGCAAGAGGAGGGAGTGGGGAGAGAGGAGAGAGAGGAGGGACAGGAGAGAGAGGAGAGGGAGGTGGAGAGAGAGGGGACATGGACCAAGGCGCAATGGGGCAAGGTGGGGTGGGACAGGGTGCTATGGGGCAAGGAGCAATGGTGCAGGTGGCAGTGAAGCAGCTGAGGGAGGAGTCGAAGCAGGGAGCAGAGGAGTTTCTGAGGGAGGTGCTCGTGCTGGGGCGACTGAATCACGCGCACCTGGTGCTGCTGTGGGGGTACTGCGTGGACGGAGGGGCGTTTCTCGTGTATGAGCTCATGGAGGGGGGAAGCCTTGACTATGCGCTCATTGACAGTGAGTGATGGGTGTTCTTGCTGGGCCTGATTGCTTGCTTGCTTGCGTACTTGCCTCCTTCCTTCCTTCCTTCCTTCCCTGGGTCGCCCCAACCACCTTCACCTGGTGCTGCTGTGGGGGTACTGTGTGGACGGAGGGGCGTTTCTCGTGTACGAGCTCATGGAGGGGGGGGGTTGGACTACACCTTCATTGACAGTAAGCACATTGACACACATTCAGACTTCCGTGAATCCCTGCATGCAAAGCCTTTCAAGGGGCGTTCCTGGTGTACGAGGTCATGGAGGGAGGGAATCTTGACTACGCCTTGATTGACAGTAAGCACACTAAAACTCCTTTAATCCCCTTCAAATACCGTCAGACCCCTTAAAGCCCTCCAAGGGGCTTTCCTGGTGTGTGAGCTCATGGAGAGGGGGAGTCCGGCTGGACTACGCCATAATCGACAGTAAGCGCACTCCAACTCCTTTTGACCCATTCAAATCACTTCAAACACCTCCAAACCCGCCAAGGGGCATTCCCGGTCTGTGAGCTCATGGAGGGAGACATTGACAGTAAGCTTTATACCCTGCCCTTCAAACCCCTTGAAATCCCTTCAAACCTCTTTGAAACCTACAACCGGCGCTCCTGGAGTACGAGCTCATGGAGAGGGGAAATCTGCACAATGCCCTAACTGACAATGGGTGCCAAGGGCGAGCTCCATTTCAGCTGGCCCATGTGCCTCGAGGTAGCAGTGGAGGTGGCAGTGGAGGTGGCAGTGGAGGTGGCAGAAGTGCTGCCCTATATGCACCGCTGCAACTACATGCCCCTTCACCTTCACTTACCCCTCTCCACTCCTCCCTTCTCACCTCCCTTTCCCTCTCTTCCCCTCACCTTCAGGTGCCAAGGGCGAGCTACATTTCAGCTGGCCCATGCGCCTCAAGGTGGCAGTGGAGGTGGCAGAGGCATTAGTATACATGCACCGCTGTAACTTCATCCATCGAGACATCAAAGCTGCCAACGTGCTTCTCAAGCCGGTGAGTGCTGATTCTTGGGACTTTCTCAACCCTGAATTTCTAGATGCCTCCTCTACCCACTCTACTCCCTGAAAACGCAAATGCCAATCTGCCCCTTCAAAAGCCCCTCCACACCCCACAAATGCCCCTTTATACCCCTTCAAATGCCCCTCCACACCCCACAAATGCCCCTCTACCCCCTTCTATGCCTCTTTACACCCCTCCAATACCTCTCTACACCCCTCCATTGCCTCCCTATGCCCCTACCTCTCTACACCCCTCCACTGCCTATCTACACCTCTCCACTGCCTCTCTACACCCCTCCACTGCCTATCTACGCCCCTCCAATGCCACTCTACACCCCTCCACTGCCTATCTACGCCCCTCCAATGCCACTCTACACCCCTCCGCAGGACTACTCAGCAAAGCTGACGGACTTCGGCATGGTGCGGGTGGGTCCCGGGGGTCAACTGCGGTCAATCGTGTCTACGAGAATCATGGGCACCGATGGTTACATCGACCCCAGCTACCTTGAAACTGGTATGTTGATGTTGTGTGTCTGGTTGTCAGTTAACTGTGGTCAGCTGGGGTCAACTGGGGTCAACTGTGGTCAACTGTGGTCAACTGCGGTCAATCGTGTCTAGGAGGATCATGGGCAACGAGGGATACATCGATCCAGCTATTTTGAGACTGGTAGGGTCTCCTCCTTTGTGTAAATGACGGTTAAAAGTTGTCAACTGTAGTTAACTGCGGTCAATCGTGTCAACCAGGATCGGCTCGGAACAGAGGGGTACATTGATAAGCCTACCTGGAGAGTGGTATATGCCTGTAGTGTGTCCATATCAACTGGGGTCAACTGTAGTCAGATGCAGTCAACTGGGTCAGCTGTGGTCAAAACTCCTAACAGGACAGAGGGTCCTCAAAAAGAGTAGCCAGCTGGTAACTGCACTGGTAACCACACTAAGCCATACCCTTGTCCCTCCCTTTTCCCCTCCCCCAATCCACCTGGGAGCCAAGAGCGACGTCTACTCCTTCGACGTGATCCTCCTGGAACTTGGAACAGGGCAGCGCGTGCTCGAAAAGGGTAACCAGCTGGTAACCGCATTGATTCCCCCCGCTTCCCCTTCAACCGTCACCAGGCCACCTGGGAGCCAAGAGCGACGTCTACTCCTTCGGGGTGATCCTGCCTGAACTCCTTATAGGGCAACTGATCCTAGAAAATGGTAACCAGCTGCATTGGTAACCACCCTCCCTTCCCCCTGCCCTCCCCACACCAGGCCACCTGGGAGCCAAGAGCGACGTCTACTCCTTCGGGGTGATCCTCCTCGAACTCCTCACCGGGCAGCGCGTACTCGAAAAGGGTAACCAGCTAGTAACCGCGTGCCGGCAGCAGTTCCAGGACCTAGCCCTGCCCTCACGGCTCTACGCGGACCCTAAGTTACATGGAGAGTACCCCGAGGTGGGGGCCAGGCAGCTGGCAACGCTGGCCAAGCACTGCCTGGCGGAGCAACGGCACGACCGGCCGGACATGGTGACAGTTCTGCAGCAGCTGAAGGAGATTATGGGCAGGACCTAGCCCTGCCAACACAGCTGTACGTTGACCCTATGCGGCATGAAGGGTACCCCAAGGTGGGGGCCAGGCAGCTGGCAACGCTGGCCAAGCACTGCCTGGCGGAGCAACGGCACGACCGGCCAGACATGGTTCTGGCACGGCTGAAGGAAATCAGGGAGGTTTCTGAGAAAGCGAGTGCTCGAGTAGGTAGGGGACGGTGGTGATTGGCGTTGAGTTGCGGGAGAGAGGCTATGTTGCCAGGCAGCTGGCAACGCTGGCCAAACACTGTGTGGAGTGGCGGAGCAAAGGCAGGACCGGCCCGATATGGCGACGCTTCTGTAGTAGTTAATGGAGATTAAGGAGGTTTCTGAAAAAGCGAGCACCCAAGTAGGTAGAAGGCACGTTGTAGGGAGGCTTTAACAAGTGCTGACAAAGGGGGTGAAGCAGGGCTTTTTTTTGGATTTCCAAAGCTGATTTCTAGAGAACTCTGAAATTCAGGGTTCACTATGAGAGTTACTCTGATTTGTCAGATAAAACTTCTGAAAAATCTACTCTGGGCACCCAGTGTACCTATTTTTCCAACTCTGAGTGTCCTCTCAAGTTTTGAACCCAGGCACTCTGCACTCCTACCAAAAAAAAAAAGGTTGTGCTACGCGCTCAGAATATTGTTGGGTTACTGAGGTTAATATATCCATTAAGCCTGTTTACCAACAATTGGGGAGGGGAGGGGGGGACGGGAGGGGGGGGGGTTGTGTCACGGTGAAATGCCTATACCCAGTACATAGAAGAGTATATCGGTCACAAATATATACTGGTCTCTCAGAGTAGCTAAAATCAGAACCCTGACAAATCAGAGAAAACTGTCAAATGTTATATATTCTTTATATTGTTAGTCTAGGCTACAGTGAGTTGCCCTCTAAAGGGTACAACACTTTAGGTCGACACTTGTATCCCTTGCCTCTCACCACTCAACCACAACTTTCGATACTTCTCTCGTAGCCTATTTTAGATGGTATTAGAGTAGGTTATTTAATCCCTCCCACGCTTCCGCTCCCTCCCTTAGCCAGTCCCGAGGCGCCCGTCCCTTAGGCACCGTTTCGTCGCGGGTAGGACGGCCCCCGCGGGCCTCGTTTTCGTCGCGTTTAAGGGCCCCCGCGGGCCTCGTTTTCGTCACGTTTACGGGCCCCCGCGGGCCTCGTTTTTCGTCGCGCTTAAAGGGCCCCGCTGGCCCCTCGTTTCGTCGCGCTCCAGAGGGGAATCTCCCCCCCCCCCCCCACCCGCGGGCCCGCGTAGTCGTTCTTAGCCTGCAGCAGCGCGCGCGTTAGCCAGCGGCAGCCGCGCACGCCACTGCAGCACGCACATTGCAATAGCAGCGCGTGCATTGCTGCAGCAGCACGACTAGGCAGCAGCACGGCTAGGCAGCAGCGCGTGCATTGCAGCAGAAGCACGGCTAGGCAGCAGCGCGTGCTCCTGCAGCAGCAGCACGGCTAGGCAGAGGCTAGCCGCCAGCCACAGCTAGCCACCGGAACCTAGCCGCCAGCAGCTGGCGCCAGCCAGCCCCTTCCAACCGCTCACAGCCCCTTCCAACCGCTCATAGCCCCTTCCAACCACTCACAGCCCCTTCCAACCGCTCACAGCCCCTTCCAACCGCCCACATCCCCTTATCTTGCGCGCACACCACCTAGGACCACCCGACCTCAGTTGGTTCGTCATTCGCGTCACTCATACTCACAGTGTTTCGCACCGTCGCGGCTGGAGGCCGCTCCGCTTAGCTGTTTAGGGTAGCCTTGACGTTCGTGGTTAGCTAGGACTCTCCTCGCTCCGCCAGCCCCTCGAACGACTCTCTGGCTCGTCAGCCCTGCCTCCTCCAGCCGTTTACTAGACTGGCGTTCCTAGCTCTGTTTTCCTCCGTGCTCCAGCAGTACTCTGCCGTTCTCCCTCCTGGCGCTTCGTAGGTTTCCTCCTCGTTCTTAGCTCAGCCTCTGCCGAGCTCCAGCCGCCTCTAGCATAGCATCAGTCATGGAGTCTCGTCGCCTGCGTTTCGACGCGGAGGGACACCCAATAGAGTTTAGCTCCTGGCAGCGCCAGACCACGCGCTTCCTCACCAGCCAGCGGCAGGACGGCGCCACTCTGTGGGCTCACGCGTCTGGTGCCCTACAGGCCCCCCCGTCCCCCGCCGCCCTGCCGACCGCCTCGGAGCCGACCCCTACGGCCCAGGCGGACTACGACCGTCGGGTCCTGGCCAGGGACGTGTGGCTCTCGCGTGACGCAGCCGCCGCTCTCACTCTGTCGGAGCTTCTCCCCTCGACTGAGGCCGCCCACTTTGACCAGGTGGAGACTGCACACGGGGTTTGGGAGGCTATTGTTGCTCGCTACTCCACCCCCTCCTCTGCCTCCCTCAGTCGCCTCCTCATGCCGTTTGTGTTTCCCGACCTAGGCTCGTTTGCGACTGTTTCCGACCTAGTGACTCACCTCCGCTCGCTTGACGCCGGTTTCCGCGCTGCCTGTACCGACGCACAGCTTCTTGCTGCTCCCCCCCCCATGTGGCTCACTCTTCACTGGATAGTCACCCGCCTCCCTGACCGCCTTGCCACTGCCCGCGACGCGCTTCTTCAGAAGCACCCCACTGAGCTCACTATCGACCTCCTAGCGACTGCTCTAGGGACCATCGAGAGCAGTCTCCTCACCGTTGCCTCCGCCACTGATGCGGTGGCCCCCCGTCTCTTTGCGGGGTGTGCCGCCCCTCAGCTTCCCACTTTCACCGCTACCCGCGCTTCTGCTGCTGTGTCGGTCTCTGAGGACACTGCTGCCGTTTCTGCCGCAGACTGGCAGAAACGGGGCAAGAGTGGCAAGAAGGGCGGGAAGGGGGGAGGTGGGGGTGGTGGAGGCGGCGGTGGAGGTGGCGGTGGAGGTGGGAGCGGCGGTGGTGGCGGAGGCGGCGGCGGCGGCGGCGGTGGTGCACCAGGGGGAGGGGGCCTTGGAGGAGGTGCAGGACAGACATGCCCACCCACAGGTGGTGGCCCGACCGGCGGGGGCGTTGCCCCCCAGCAGCAGCAGCCACAGTAGCACCAGCCACAGCAGGGACAGCTGCAGCAGCAGGGACAGCAGCAGCAGCAGCAGGCACCGCAGCAGTTCCAGCAGTGGGGGCCCCCACTGCAGTGGGGTCCGCAGCAGCACTGGGGTCCCCCGCCGCAGTGGGGTCCGGGAGGCCCTGGGAGCACCGTCCGCAGCAGCAGCTCTTCCAGCTGGGCCCCTCGCCCCCCTCGCCGTGACGCTTGCCCCTGCACCCACTGGTGCGTCACTGGGCCGGGCAGCCCCTGTCTCTGTGGTCGCGACGACCACTCTGCCGCGCGGTGCTTCCGCCGCCTCGACGACCTCTACCGGGCTCGTTGGGGCCCTCTGGCGGTCACGCCTCGCTGGTCTCGTCTGTTAGCCCGTAAGATTGATGTCTTTGATCTGTCCATGGACGATGCGCGTCAGCATGCTTTGTATGTTGATGCTGACTATAGTGCTGATGAATCTGTGTGCTCGCGTGTTCGTAGGTTAGCCTGCTTGCCTCCCGCTAGTGTAGCCTTGTGCCTGTCTAGCTTAGGTGCTTGTGTTGTTGCTCTAGGTGCTTGTGTAGCGACTGAGTCAGGTGACCCTCCGGCTGAGGCCTCTCTGTCGTTCACGCTGGACTCGCGCGCGTCTCAGTGCTTCTTCCGTGACCACACGACCCTTACACCACTCCTCACCCCTGTGTCGGTGGCTCTGGCTGATCCCACCTCTGGACCAGCCGTTGCGCGCAGCTCCACCACCCTCCCCTGCCCTGTGGTCCCCTCTGGTGTCCTGCGCGGCCTCTAAATCCCCTCGTTCACTCGGAACTTGGTGGGTGTTGGATACCTCCAGGACAGGGGGATCATGGTTACCTTCGTGGGGGGTGGGCGGACTGCAGTCTGTACAGACGCTACCACAGGTGCTGTTCTGGCCACGTTCACCCGGGAGCCCCGCTCCGGTCTCTACGTCCTCCACACCGAGCGCTCCCCGGTCGCGTCCTCCCCTCAGGTCGTTGCGTCCCCTTCGGCCCAGGTCCCCAGTCCAGTTGCTGTGTCTAGTCAGGCAGTAGTGTCCGGTCCGGACGCTGTGTCCAGTCCCGTCGCTGCGTCGTGCTCCTGTCGCTCTCTCACCCACCGCACCGTCCTGTGGCACCACCGCCTTGGCCACCCATCGCTCCCTCGCCTACGTAGCATGCTCAGTCAGGGACTTGTCTCAGGTCTCCCACGCACCTTCCCGTCGCTCCCTCTCTCGCCTGCCCCTCCTTGCTCTCCGTGCGTCGCCGGTCGCTTACGCGCCACTCCCCACTCCTCCTCCCTTCGTCTGGCCACCGCTCCCTTCAAGACTCTCCACTTGGACGTCTGGGGCCCTGCCCCGACGCAGGGGTCTGGAAGGGAGCGTTACTTTCTGGTGGTCGTCGACGACTTCTCCAGGTACACCACAGTGTTCCCTCTTGCGAAAAAGTCCGAGGTGACTGCTACGCTGATCAGGTGGCTTCTAGCCACTGAGGGCACTCGTGGTCGTCGAGTCAGTTGTCTCCACTCCGACCGTGGGGGCGAGTTTCGCTCCGGCATTCTCGGCGGATTCTGCGGCGAACAGGGCATCACCCAGTCCTGGACGCTGCCAGAGTCCCCACAGCAGAATGGGGTTGCTGAGCGCCGCATAGGCTTGGTCATGGACATCGCCCGCACGTCCATGATCCATGCCCGTGCGCCCCATTTTCTGTGGCCTCACGCGGTTCGCTACGCCGCACACCAGCTGAACCTCCAGCCGCGTGTCTCGCGGCCCGAGGCTTCACCGACCAGTCTTTGGACTGGTTCCCCTGGTGTCGGGTCGGCCTTTCGAGTCTGGGGCTGCCTTGCGCTTGTTCGCGACACCTCCGCGGACAAGCTCTCGGCACGCGCCGTCCCCTGTGTCTTCCTTGGTTTCCCAGTGGACTCTGCCGACTGGTCCTTTTACCACCCGCCCCTCCACCAGTTCCTAGACTCTCGTGACGTCCGGTTTGACGAGTCTGTGTCCTACTACACCCGGTACCCCTGTCGAGGTCTCCCGGTACCCCCTCCCCCTCTTTTCCTCGCACCCTCTCCTCCTCCTGCTCCCGCCCCTCCGGTACCCCCGCCCCCCCCTGGTCCTGCCCCGTCTGGTGTGTCCCACGTTACCCCTCTACCCTCGGTCGCGCGTCAGGTAGCGGCTCCCTCCCCACAGTCCTCCTCCCAGTCCCCTCAGCAGCCTTCGGCACTTCCGCGACAGGTTAGTGTGGACTCGGTTGGTGTTGGAGCTGGAGGTGCAGCCGCTGGCGGTGCTTGGTCTGGGGGTACTCGGTCGCGGGGTGGTGGAGCGGGAGGTGCTGGCGCAGGTGGCGCTAGCTCTGGGGGTGCTGGAGCGGGAGGTGCTGGCGCAGGTGGCGCTAGCTCTGGGGGTGCTAGAGCTGGAGGTGCTGGCGCAGGTGGCGCTAGCTCTGGGGGTGCTGGAGCTGGAGGTGCTGGCACTGGTGGTGCTAGTTCTGGGGGTGCTGGAGTTGGAGATCCTGGCACTGGAGGTGCTGGTTCTGGGGGTGCTGAGTCTGAGGAGCCTGACCCTGGTTCTGCGGAGTCCACTCCGCCTCCCCACCGCCACGACACACGTCTTCAGGCTGCCCGCCGGCGTGAGCGTGAGGAGCAGGAGCGGTTGGAGAGGGAGCGGCAGGAGCTGCGGGTACTGGAACTTCTGGAGCAGCACCAGCCGCAGCCGCCGACGCCGCAGCAGCAGCCGCCGCCGCCACCGCAGCTTCCTCTGGAGCGGCAGTTGTTCCCACCTGTGAGTGGCCTGCGGGCCCTTGGCCTTTCCTCCTCTCCTTCTGTCCGCCCCCAGTCTCCTCCTGTGTTTGTTCCTCCGTTGCCTCCTCCTGACGACCGTCCGGCGGTCTGGTCTTCTACTCCTCCCCAGTCTCCTCCTCCTTCGGTCCGTCGCGACTTGGTCACTCGTTGTCCTCCGCGTGCTCGTCACTCGTCCCCTGTTACTGACCTCCACACTGCCCTCCTTTGTACGTCTTGTTGTCGTTCTCCTTCTCCTGTGTCCGTTTTCCCGTCTCCTTCTCCGTCCTCTCTCCCAGCTCTCCCCACTCCTATCACTGACTACTACCGCACTGTTCGTCCTGTTGCCGCACGTGTCCTCGCCACTCTTGTCACCGACTCTCGTTTCCCTCCGTCGTCGGTCTCTGCTCTCACTGCCGCTGTCGCTGAGTTTGCTGCCGCCAGCCGCCTTGACTACGCCACCCGTGTGGTGCCAGCTCCTCCCTACCGTCCTCTGTCCGTCGGGGGTGAGTTTGCCCTTGGCTGTGACGTCCTAGAGGACAGAGAGTCTGAGCTGGAGTACTGGGCAGCCGCTTCTCCCTCTATGTATGCCATGCTGCTCTCCCCTGAGGGAGACCCCGACGCCCTTGACATACCAACTCCTCGCACTTACCGCGAGGCAGTGTCAGGGGCGTGGGCCTCTCAGTGGAAAGCGGCTATGGACTCAGAGTTGGCGTCTTGGAGATCCACAGGCACCTACGTCGACGCAGTTCCCCCTCCCAGGGCGAACGTAGTCGATGGCATGTGGCTCTTCAAGGTGAAGCGGCCGCCTGGAGCACCGCCGGTGTTCAAGGCGCGCTACGTGGCTAGGGGCTTCAGTCAGCGTGAGAGAGTTGACTTCTTCCAGACCTTCGCCCCGACCCCGAAGATGACTACTCTTCGGGTGTTACTCCACATAGCAGCGCAGCGAGACTACGAGCTGCACTCCCTCGACTTCTCCACTGCGTTCCTCCAGGGCCGACTGCACGAGGAGATCTGGCTGCGCCGTCCTCCTGGCTTCACTGACACCTTCCCACCTAGGACCCAGTGGAGCCTGAGGCGACCAGTCTACGGTCTCCGCCAGTCGCCCCGTGAGTGGCACGACACTCTTCGCTCCACGCTTCGTGAACTTGGGTTCAGCCCGTCCTCCGCCGACCCGTCGCTGTTTGTTCGAGGGGGTTCTTCTCCCTTCTTTATCCTTGTCTACGACGACGTCAGCAGACAGGGCAGCCCTGGCTCAGGTGAAGTCCGAACTGCAGAAGAGACACAAGTGCACTGACCTGGGTGAGCTGCAGCGTTACCTTGGCTTGCAGATTACCCGGGACAGAGCCGCTCGCACCATCGCACTATCGCAGTCACACATGGTGCAGCAGGTCCTTCGGCGGTTCGACTTCCAGTTCTCCACCACACAGCCCACTCCTCTTGCTGTTGACCACAGACTCACTGGCCCCTTTCCCGACGAGCCTTTTGAGTCCAGTGGTCCCTACGCAGAGCTGGTGGGCTGCCTCATGTACCTGATGACTTGTACTCGGCCGGACCTCGCCTTTCCCCTCAGCGTCCTCTCTCGCTTTGTTGCGACTGGGAGACACCGTCCTGTCCACTGGACAACAGCTGTGAGGGTGGCGAAGTACCTGGCGACTACATCAGGCATGGGGCTTGTGCTTGGAGGGACTCAGCCAGTGGTGTTGACTGGTCACTGCGACTCTTCCTACGCTGACGACGTGGAGACTCAGCGCTCGACTCAGGGTTACTGCTTCAGCCTGGGAGCTGGTGCTGTGTCGTGGAGGTCTACACGGTCGTCTTCTGTGGCTACTTCCAGCGCAGAGGCAGAGATCTACGCTGGTGCCATGGCGGCACAGGAGCTTCGCTGGTTGACCTTCTTGCTTGCCGACCTTGGTGAGCGGCCTCGCTCTGCACCGACCTTGTACGCTGACAACAAGGCCATGATCCTCCTGTGTCGAGAGCCTCGACTGGAGAGCAGAGTGAAGCACATTGACGTGAGGTACTTCCTCCTGCGAGAGCTGCAGCGACGCGGCCAGGCTCGCCTGGACTTTGTGGCCTCAGAGGCCAACACTGCAGACGTTTTCACCAAGGCCTTAGCGCTTGGTGACCACCACAGGTTCTGTGTGCAGTTGGGGCTTGTTGAGGTTGGCCCTCGGTTGCTGTAGTCCTGTTGCTTGCTCTGCTTGTTGTGTTTCCTATTTATATTCTAGTGAACTCGTGAACTGGCCTTGTGGCCGTTTGCATGTGCTCGGAATTTGTGTGGTATCCTTGAGATCCACCCTGAGCTTGCCTTGTTTCTTGCGTTGACTGGTCTTGTGACCGTGTGCTCACCTTGCTTGCTTTGGTGCCCCTCACTTAGCCTATGGGGGTGTGTCAAATGTTATATATTCTTTATATTGTTAGTCTAGGCTACAGTGAGTTGCCCTCTAAAGGGTACAACACTTTAGGTCGACACTTGTATCCCTTGCCTCTCACCACTCAACCACAACTTTCGATACTTCTCTCCTAGCCTATTTTAGAAAAACTTATCCTCCAAAAAAATTACCCAGACACGTCAGAGTGACCCCCTAAAAACCACTTTGATTTTCAGAGAAAGAGTAATTTACTCTGATAAAAAAACCCCTGGGGTGAAGGTGCTTTTGAGGCTGTTCTATGGGCGATGATAGTGAGGAGAGCTGTTTTCCGCGAGCAGACTCAACGGAACTGGTTCCGTACTCTATTGCTGCCGAACAGATGCATCTCTAAAACAGAAATGATGAGTGAAGGCAATTTCGCTACACCTGAGAAGACTCTATTGCTTTAAATATTTCTAGTACAGTAGCTCCTAGACCGTACTTTAGTCAAAGGTAAGGTAAAGAAAGACATAAATGAAGAAGAAAAGAAAAGAGAAGAGAAAGGGAGAAGGAAAGTGAAACCGCCAAGAAGAACCCAAATGCAACACACGTAAAACCCCCCCTCAAGATACCCAATCAAAACGCCCAGTCAAGACACCCTGTCAAGACATCCCATCCCACACCCCATTCCCCCCCCCCCCAATCACAACAGCGAATCCACCATGTACGGGGCCTCCACCCAGAGAGCCCCGCCTTCCGCATCGCCATCGTCCCACTCCCGGTCCACCAAGTCAACGTTAATCCCCCCCATAGAACACGCCGCTCGAAGCAGGATGACACGGGCTTGCGCACGTTGCAACGCCACCCCGATGAGCGCCTTTCAGTGACCCTAGAAGATAAGCCGAAACACCGTGTCGTCCTCCCGACAAGCCCCCCGCGACACAGCTAGCCACACGTGCGCATCTCCCTGCTGACGAAGCCACCTCCGAAAGCGACCGCCGAGACACCCCCACGTCTCCACTATCAGAGGAGTGAACTGCACGCCCCGGTTGCGTGCAAGCAGAGGCGCGTAATCGCTTGTTTTACGACGCTCCCATTCTCTTGCCGCCACGCCTATTTGACGCCCGCACTGTCCTAGCAAAGATGGAGACAGCGATAGCGGGTCCGCGACGCTGATCTCCACGGCGTGAGCCTCTCCAGCCATTGGTCGTCGCACCGCCACATCAACCCGCTTCCCCTGCAGCACCACACTATCCTCCATTGTCACCACCCCCTTAGACGCCTTAGAGATCTTCGCCACCGCAAACTTCACCTCATCATGTACCCGAGATGGACCATGGTGGTGCTTCCATCTCAGGGCATGATGCGGGTCTGCTGGGTCAACATATGCTGTGCCACAAACACACCTCCCCGCCACCTGCAGCTGCTGAATTGGGAGCCCGAGCCGTATAGCAGCAGCAATGCCCCACTCCGCCGCAGTGAATGTGAGATCTGAGTGAGCCGGAACCGCCGAAACCCATGCACCAGCCCTCGGGCCCTGAAGGGATGTGAAACGGGCCAGGGTGGCATCGTCACGAGCCGAGCGACGCAGTGTCTGGAGCTCCTCTACCGCCAACAACCGCTGCCGCGCCTGGAAAAGCCGAAGAGGAGGGGCCGCTACGCACAGAGGTAAGCCCGGCATCTCCTGGCGTATAGTCGCAGGCAGCTGCTCAAGAGCCTTGGCAAACCACGGGTCAAGAAACATCGCCCCTGCCGAAGTGGTGAGGTACTCCGCAAACATCGCCTCCTCGCCCGCCACCCCCAACTGTGAAATATCACGCGCGGCCTGCGCCCACCCACAAACATAGGACAGCGGACTCAAAGAGGCTGCTGCCCGGATCCCAAACCCTCCGAGTCGCACAGGGAGATGCAGCTGCATGCGCGCGCGCCTAGACCGGTCGGGGTCATGCTCCCAAGTGTCAGGTGGGAAAAGCTGCTCAAAGCAATCCTCCAAACAGCTATCCCAATCCCTGAAGGCCTCCACCACCTCCGGACGCGGCGGCATAGTCCGGGCCAGGTACATCGGCCGTGCTGAAACTGCAATGGCGAGGAGATGTGAAGCCATCTGGGGGTGGTCGAGCAGGGGGAGCCATGGGAATGGCGCCTGCAACTGTCTAAACCGCTCCCGTAACCGGGTCACCTCCCAACCCTCCTCCCCAATAGGCACGCCCACCACAGTGAGACCCTCCTCCACCCGCTGCATCCCCAATGGCAGTGCCCACTCCACATACCCGCCCTCGCGCTCCCAAAACCGGCACTTATGCGCCTGCACCTCCAGCCCCACCCATTCCAACTGCTCCCGAAGCATCCCAAACGCCTCTAGAATCCTAGCCGCCGGTCCCAGGATATAGGTACCGTCTGCGTAGACTCTATTGCTGCTGACTCACAGCTGATGGGTAACATTTATTGAACTACAGCGTCATTACACTGTACATACAATTTTGAAGTCTGCACTCTCAGCTAAGCTTGAATGTTATTCAAGGTCCAAACACAAATAGAATGAAATATATTTGGCTAAAGAAACACAAAATGCTCCAAGGCTACTGAGCAACCCGATGCGAGGCCGTCCGTTTTGTGCCTGGCCGTTTTAAGTGTTACAATGGAACAGATTATAAAATACAAGGAAATCGCCTTCGCCAGTTCACAGGGCGTCAATCATGCCCTTCCTGCCGAGAGCACTGTACGATGAGCTGACGGATGTCGCCATGGCGACGGCGCTAGCGGTTTCGTCGTCCATCGCTGTTCCGCGTACGAAGCGGCAGTAGTTGCAGTCGGACCGCATGAGCTCCGACGTCTTGTAATCCTCCCACGTGCCATCAATGAAACCCTCGGCGTTGTCACCCGGAACCACGTACGCCTTAAGAAGCTTGCTCCAGACAAGAGTCTGCTTCTCACTGCAAACACAAACATTAATCCAGTCAGGCGATGGAACCTCGGCACGAAGGAGGATATTGAATGCAGTGTTAAAATTCCGAACACGAGGATGGTTCGGAAACTTACAGTCGGCCGGCGAAATCGGGGCGGTAGGTTTGCCCAAGAACTCCGTGCACGTTCGCGGAGAGCTGCGCGCTGACGACCTCGATGGTGAAGTGAACAAGCCCGTCGTCCTTGGTCCTCATCAGCTTGATCTCAGGCCTCAAAATCAGTCGCAGGGTGATGATTTCGGCAACCGAAATTTCGTAAATGTCGACCAGATCGTCGCCAACCTTCTTCCTCGCATCCACCCACTTGAGCTCAACAGAACCGTCGAACAGGTACATCTTTTCGCCAGGGAACGACAAGCTCGTTTTCTCGCCATCAACGTAGATCGCCTTGAGGTAACCCGCACCGTACTCAGAATCAGCTCCGGGCCTAGCCTCGAAAACGACGGAGTGGTGGCCCCAGAGCACCGCGATGTTACGCATCCAAGTCATCACCTTGTTCTTCTGGCCCATCCACTCCTTCTCCACGCGCCCGCCGAAATACGCGTTAACGGCAATATGCGCATCCGATATCAGGGCGAAGTTCTCGCCGGGCTGGCCGCTGAAGTCAAACCGCGACTTGTCGGCACCAACGAAATGGGGATCGCCGGTAACATTACCGTCGCAGACCTTGCCGACGAAGAACTCGGAAGGAGGCTGGTAATCGTTGGTGGAATCGAAGAAGAAGTTCATTGTATTGTCGGGATTGTAGTGGTTCTGCGTGCAAACGCCCTCGTCGTAGCAGGAGCACACACCTGAAGAAGAAAGAGCGAGAGACAACAATAGACAGAATACAATGAGATGGAAGTGCCAAAAATACACAAAGCTGTTTAAAGAAAGGATGAGTTCAACCACCAAGAAAGAACAGAAAACAACGGCGGTTCTTACCTCCAACGTCGCATGTCTTCTCGTACTGCCAATACTTGATTTGCGGGTGATCGGCCTTTGCCATCTTGCAAATCTTCCAGCAATCGAAGTATGGCGTCTCGAGTTCGACATCCCACTCAGGCGACTCGGGATCATTCTTCATCAACGGCTTGGAGAACAGCCACTCGTACGAAATATCCTCGCTATCGGAGTCCGTGAAGGTTCCGTTAAAGTGGGAGCCGGGTGTACACGTGAACGCCGGGCAGTTACCGTAGTTCGAACCCTCCTGTCCAGGGTAAATCAGGGTGGAGTTGACCTTAAGTCCCGTGCCGCCGGAGCTAGTCGTGCTTCCGCCGGTGCTGCTGCTACCGCCGCTGGTCGTGCTTCCGCCAGAGCTGCTGCTACCGCCGCTGTTTGTGTTTCCGCCGCTGTTCGTGTTTCCGCCGCTGTTCGAGTTACCGCCGCTGTTAGTGCCGCCAACGGTGTTCGTACCGCCAACGGTGTTCGTACCGCCAACGGTGTTCGTACCGCCAACGGTGTTCGTACCGCCGACGGTATTGGTGCCGCCGACGGTGTTCGTGTTGCCGCCGCTGGCGGAACTGCCGCTGCTGGTGGTACTACCGCCGCTGGTGGTACTGCCACCGGTGTTGGTGCCGCCGACAGTGTTGGTGCCGCCGACGGAATTCGTACCGCCCACGGTATTAGTACCGCCAACTGTATTGGTGCCGCCTACAGTCACCGTGGGAATAGCGATGACATATGGAACTAGGAGTGCCAATAACACACAGGCTATGACTGACCTACCCATCTCTAATCTCTACCTCGAATTCCAATGCGTCAGTGCGTCCAAGGGGAATCGAGGCCACTGTCAGAAGGGGATGTCTCAGAGTCTATGGACAGCAATCCAAACAAGCTATGGCTAATCCTGAAGGAGTTGGGCAAGAAGGCTGAGCAAGGGAGAAGGGGGACGAAGATGGGTTAGGGACTAGGGTTGGTGTTATCGGGAGTAACAGCTGTGGTGTGGGGACATGGAGGGGTTGTGTTGGTCTTGGCTTGTCGTTTTGGGGGGGTCGTCGTATCAATTGTGCGCTTCAGGTGGTTTGTTAATGTCATGGGGGTCGTTTGCATTCAGGTGGATGGGCAGCAACTCCGTGAACAGCACCTGCATCAACCGTCTCGATGTGCAGATCACCTGGACGAAGGGTAACATAACCTGGGAGTGAAATCGCGGAACTCGTTGACGCGACAATAAGGCTCTGAAGCAGTAAACGTTCCACGGCGCAGATGAATTTGCATGTGTGCCCACCAAACCCGAAATGCACGTTTTTTCAATCCACTCCTCATCAATCCAATTCTACATGGGCAGCTTCAGGCACCCAAAAGCACAATCACGATGGAAACAGCAATTTGTCAGATCTTTATGCTTTCGACAGAAGTACAGTAGACCTTCATTTATCACTGTAGTTGGGCCAACAAGCTTCGGCTGGCTCACGTCTCCTCCAACCGAGGGAGTCGAACCTCGTTCCCAACGAAAATGGCGACCTGACCAACATCTTCACATCTCAAATTCACCAAAGAATGCTGTATTGGCAGGTCTTGATTTAGAATACAGCAATCAAACTCAAACCTCCTACTTAATCTAAATGTTGAAGTATTCTGTTGTGTGCCCATCTAACATGTCATCACCAAGCACTCCAATGCTGCGAAACCACCCATCTTATGATTTCAATACAGCTCGTGCTAATCTACACCATTACATGATTTCTCTCACTATAGTTGATCCACGGCCGACACATAATAAATATACCTTCAAATGACTGATCCATGAACCTTGTCCAAGAAAAGAAAAAAAAGGCTGACCTAAAATTTACCCCAAAAGACTGAAAAGTTAAGATAAATGTGAGAACACGCATTGCATCGCAGACATCCAGATACAAAGCGGTGCAATGATTTGATCAATGTGTGTGACGCAACGCAACGCAACGTATCGCCCTTCGCAATTGTATTCTGTTTTTTGGTGGGTTTTGGTAGTGTACCACCAGACAGTTGTGTTGATATAATCCGGGAATCATAGAAGTGGATATGATAAGACTGCTCAGTCATAGGAAGACAATAGTCTTGTGGTGACCTTGTTTAGTGAAAGTTGAAGGAGATCAAGATGATTATAAGGATGCATTCCACTGTGAACACTTTCTCAAAGAAAGTGCCTGAATCGATTGTGACGCGTACTTACAACATATGCTTCCAGGTGTCCGTGTCAAACACATATGCTTAGGTTATTTATCTAGGCTCTAGTGGGGTAGTGTAAGCAAAATTCAATTTCCTTACTTCGCGTCCTCGCTCTGCGTGTATACCACTGTAACACCACAGTCAGCATCGTTACCACTCGCAACCGTCGCATCGACAATCCTCCGCCACCTTCGCACTTCGCACCCCGACCTCACGGCTCGGCTGGTAACCCGCGCTCCGGACCTCCACTTTGACATTCCCCCAAACCTCAGTCCCAGGCCCGTCGCGCGACAACCAGAGTCCACTACCGTTACCACTGTAATTTCGCTATACATTCTTCGCTCATGCCTTTGCTAATTGAACTCTTGCTTCGATAGTGCAATTCTCGCTCGCTCATTCAATTGCACTCGTAACAGGTAGCCACTATTGGGTATAACCCCTTGTTCCTATTTTGTACCAAACTTTCTCGATAGTCTCATCATTGCTAGCTACCTATTCTAACATGGTATTAAGAGCAATAGGTCCTTAGTGTCAGAATCCCAACCACTAGACCATTGGGATAAAAGGGCTTGTTAAGTAGCGGGTCAGTGCGCCCATAACCCCCCAGGCCAATGTGCCTGTAACCCTTCCCTAGGATCAATCGGGGATCACCAGTGGACCTCTGACACTTAGGACCTTAAGAGCGCCTTTATTTTTTCGGACCCACCACCTACCACTTGCGGTTAACGAGCTACCCCAAGCCCTGCACTGCCCTAGCCCCGCGCACGTCCCGCTAGCAGCCTGTAAGGCCCGCGCGTCACCCGTTAGTAGCCCGCGCGACCCGCTAGTCGCCTCTGCTGGCCCGCGCGCCGCCGCCTGCGCGACCCGCACGCTGTCCGTGCAGCCCGCGCGCAGCTTGCCAGCAGCCTCGTAGGCCATGTAGCCATGTGCGCCGTCTGCTCCTACCGCGGCTGCCTCCTACGCCTAGCGCGCCGCTTGTCGCGCTGCCCTGCAACCCCGTGCACTGCCCGCCATGCTGCTCTGCCGACCGCTAGTCGCCCTGTGCGCCGCCTACCCTGCTGCCGCGGCTGCCTGCTGCACCTAGGCGCCGCCCGCCCTGCTACTGCATCCGCCCATTAGGCCCTGCGTGCGGCCCGCCCTGCTGCCCTGCCGGCCGCCTGAAGCGCCATGCGCTGCCTCAACTCCTAGCGCACTGCTACACCAGAGTTGTTGCTGCTGGTACTACTTGCTGCAGCTGCTCCTCCTCGCTGTTGCTACTTCTATTGCTGCAACTGCTCCTTCTTGCTGCTACTGCTCCTACTTACTGCAACTGCTGCTCCTTGGTGCTACTGCTGGTGCTTCTTGCTGCAGCTGCTCCTGCCGGCCCTCTGCAGCCCCGTGCGCTGCATGCCCTGCTGCCTCGAGTGCCTGCTGCGCCCACTCGCTGCCCGCACTGCTGCTGCAGCCACTGCTACACTGCACCCTCTAGCGCCGCCCGCACCTGCCCGCGTGCTGCTCCTGCCGGCCCTCTACGCCTGCCGCTCTGTTCACCGCTCACCTGCAGCTCTCGCAACTTCCTAGAAGCTTCCTGCTTGCTTTCTTGCGCGGCCCCATTCACTAAGACGCTATGCGTTCTCGAATTTGATCCTGGCGAGCGCCCCATTAAGTTCGAAACTTGGCTGCAGGACCTACAACTGTTTCTACTGAGTGACTCTAGAGACGATGTTTCGCTGTATGACCTCATGTCTGGAGCTAGTTTTGCATCTGCCGCCTCTGCAGATAGCACGACTCGCTCGAAATGGCTCACTCGTGACGCTGCCGCTCGATTAGCTGTCCGTAACCACCTGCCCATATCCGAGCGTGCGCATTTTGATCAGACCAAAACGGCCAAGAAACTGTACGGCGCTGTAGTTGCGCGCTATTCTTCCCCTACCATTGCAGCGCTAGGCCGCCTCATTCTCCCCTACCTCTTTCCCGAGCTGTCCTCCTTTGACTCTGTCAATGACCTCATCACAACTTCGCACTATAGACGCTCGCTACAGTGCCGCCCTCCCCACAGAGTTTCTCCCTAAGAATGAGCCCCTGATCTATATCACACTCTACTTTATAGTCACTCGCCTCCTAGACTCTCTTAGTGCAGTCAGGGACACCCTCCTAGCCCTTAGCCCCACAGACCTCACTATCGACCTGCTCTCGAAGCACCTCCTAGTAGCCGAGACGAACATTGTCGCTGTAGGTGCTGCTCGTGGCACTCCCCGCACGCCCTTCTTTGAGGGGTGCTCCGCCTACCCCCTTGTCCCCTCTGTCACTTATGCTGCTGCTGTCGACTACCTTGGAGCTGAGGGAGTCGGTACTGCCTCTGCTTCTGGTGGGAGGCACCGTAGCGGCAGGGGCAAGGGAGGCAAGGGTGGTGGGGGTGGCAGCAATGGAGGCCGTAGTGGTGGAGGCGGTGGAGGCATTGGAGGGGGCGGTGGTGGCGGTGGGGGTGGTGGCGGGAGTGGGGGAGCAGGCGGTGGGGGCGGTGGCAGCAGCGGGGGTGGTGGTGGTGGCGGTCATGGTGACGGTGGACGCAGTGGGGGCAGTGGTGGTGGTGACCGGAGTGGTGGTGGCAGCAGCAGCGGTGGGCGGACTGGAGGTGGTCAGCGGCAGCAGCAGCAGCAGCAACACCACCACCACCACCAGCTTGAGCCCCTCTCGCCCCAGCAACTCCGTGACTAATATGCTCAGCGCCACGGGTCTGGGGGTGTTCTCTCTTGCCCGTACATCATTCGCATCGGCGAACGCAAGGGTCAGACGTGCGGCAAAACCCACACCCGCTACGGCTGCTTCTCCCGTCTAGATGATGCTTGGCACAATGAGTTTAGCGATGATCATGAGACGCCCCGCTGGGCAGATCTGCTTAAGGTTAAAGTAGACCTATGTGAGCTTGACTTTGATGCTATTCTCATTGGCATGTATGCTTTGTCTACTAGTGTTGAGGGTGACTGTTACTTGTGCGTGCCGCCGGACCCAGATATAGAGTCTGCTGCTCTAGGTGCTCTGCTCTCTCTGGTATTGCGCCTGCTTAGCCTTGCACACTTTCACACTTGATTCTAGTGCTACTCACTGTTTCTTTCGCAACAGCACCACACTCACACTCCTCGCTAGACCCGTTGCTGTCTCCCTGGCCGACCCTTCGGGGGGCTCGGTGCTTGCACGTTCCACCACTGTTCTCTTCTGCCCGGCCGTTCCGTCCGGCTCACTATAAGGTCTCCACCTCCCCTCGTTCTGGACGAACCTTGTAAGCAACGCTGGCCTTCAGGATGAGTGGGTTGATACCTTCACCCCTAGAGGTCAGCATGTGGCGATCTGCACGTATGCACGGACTGGCCGTCACCTGGCCACGTTCACCCGTGCGCCACGATCCAGCAAATACACACTAACCACTGAGGCTCCCTGGTAGCTGCGTTGGGTCAGTTAGCTACGTCGCGCCAGGCGTCAGCCCCTTGTGCCTGTTGCCACCTCTCCCACCAGACTCTCCTCTGACACCACCACCTTGGTCACCCCTCCCTGCCACGCCTTCGTGGCATGCACACACGTGTCCTTGTCTCTGGTCTCCCCAGGTCGCTATCCTCTCTCCCGCGCTCCTCTGCCCCTCCCTGCATTCCTTCCGTCGAGGGGCGGCAGCGTGCTGCCCCTCATTCCTCCTCGTTTCCCCCGACAGAGGCTCCCCTGTAGACTCTTTACATGGACATGTGGGGCCCCGCCCGCGTCCGTGGTCAGGGAGGCGAGCGGTACTTCCTGCTGATTGTTGACGACTACCCGCGTTACACCATGGTCTTCCCCTTGCGTCGCAAGGATGACGTCCTTGCTGTCTTGATCCCTTGGATCCGCGCAGTCCGTCTCTAGCTCAGCGGGCGGTTTTGCTTGGACTTCCCCGTCTTGCGTCTGCACTCTGACAGAGGTGGTGAGTTCTCCTTTGCGGGCCTTCTGTCAGGGGGGAGGCATCACCCAGTCGTTCACGCTTCCGGCTGATGAGAAACAAGAATGATTGAACTATGATAGAGTTGGGTACAAGAACTAACCCTAATTGGGTTGTACCCCTTGTGGGCTACCCCACTACAACCTGCACAAATGTATAAGCTATAATGTTCTGACACACCCCCATAGGAAAAGTGGGGGAGAACAAGTGGTCACAAGACCAGTCAAGCAAAGCAAAGCAAGCTCAGGGTGGATCACAAAGTCACCACACAGTCCGAGAACAAGAGTAAGGCCACAAGGCCAGTTCACAAAATATAAAGGTAAACAAGCAAGTGCAGGTATAGAAAGAGTACACTACAAACAAGATCAACAAGTGAGCAAGTGAGGCTAGGTAGGCACAAGACCTAGCAAAGTACAGAAGCGCTGATGATCACAAAGCGGAAGGGCCTTGGTGAAGATATCAGCAGTGTTGGCCTCAGAGGCCACGTAGGTGAGACGGAGCTGACCACGCTGCTGCAGCTCACGAGCCAGGAAGTAGCGGAGAGCAATGTGCTTCGTTCTGTGCTCCAGTCTATGCTCTCGACACAAGGCCAGGATGGCCTTGTTGTCTACGTACAGAACTGGAGGAGAACGAGGCTGCTCTCCTAAGTCAGTCAATAGATAGGTGAGCCAGCGTAGCTCCTGTGCAGCCATGGCCCCTGCGTAGATCTCAGCCTCACAGCTGGAGCTGAGAACAGAAGACAAGCGGGTAGACCGCCACGAAACAGAGCCGGAGCCAAGGCTGAAGGTGTAACCCTGTGACGACCGCTGCGTAGCCTAGTCGTCAGCCCAAGAAGCGTCAGCGTGACCTGTGAGGTTTACTCGACGTCGCCCTCCAAGCACTAGCCCCATGCCCGACGTACTGCACAAGTAGCGCAACACCCTCTTCGCTGCAGCCATGTGCTCTGGTCGGTGTCTCCCAGGAGCAACATAGCGTGCCAAGATGCTAAGAGGGTATGCAAGGTCAGGTCGTGTGCAGGTCATGAGGTACATGAGGCAGCCAACAAGCTCTGGGTATGGGCCACTCGGCTCTACGGACTCATCCGAAGGCAGAGCTGAGAGCGAGTGGCGAGTAGACAGAGGAGTGGCCTGAGGCGAGGAGTACGTGGAGTTGAAGCGCTGAAGGACCTGCTGCACCATGTGTGACTGGGTCAGGGTAATGGTGCGCTGTGCTCTGTCCCGGGTGATCTGCAAGCCAAGGTAGCTGCGCAGTTCACCCAGGTCTGTGCACGTGTGTCTCTTCTGCAGCGCGGACTTCACGTGGGCGAGTCCAGCAGTGTCAGCAGTGGCAAAGACCAAGTCGTGGTCGTACACGAGGATGTAGAACGGCGGCAGAGAGGTGTCGGTGCGTAGAAATAGCGACGGGTCGGCAGTAGAAGGAGGACCTGGTGCAAGGAAGAGCGGCAACGGGGGGAGAGGCGCAGTGCGGTAGGGGAAGAGACGGTAGTAAGGTACCGACTCGTCAAAGGTGACGTCCTGGGAGGACAAGGTGGGGTGGTAAAACTGCCACCCAGGCGCATCAAGGGGGAAGCCAAGGAAGACGCAGGGAACAGCATGGGGGGACAACTTGTCCGCATACAAGTCGCGGACAAACGCCCGAGATCCCCAGACCCGAAACGCAGACGCATCGCCAGACAGGGTGCCAGAGAACGATGGGAGGTAGAGACCAGACAGGGTGCCAGAGGGGGCTGACGGGCACGGTAGGACAGTGGAGAAGCTAGCAAGGACATGACCCCCAGAGGGGTCTGCCAGGGAGAGTGCAACCGGCCGACTGAGCGGTGTAAGAGTGGTGCGGTCTCGAAAGAAGGAGCGGGACGCACCCGAGTCCAGGGTGAAGGTGTGGAAGGCGTGAGCCGACGTAGTGCCTGAGAGAGCAGACTCACCAGCACCTGGGGCAGCAGACGCACTGGCACCTGGGGCAGCAGACGTAGTAGCACCTAGAGCAGTAGCCTCACCAGCACCTAGAGGAGCGGCCTCAATGCCCGGGTCAGGCGGTACACACAGGTAACAGTCACTCGCAACACTAGTATCAACAGCATACATGGCAGCAAGAATAGCATCAAAATCAAGATCAAAGATAGCAACCCCGGCCTTAGTCAGATCTCCCCAGCGGGGGATCTCTGACGCCTCAGGAAACTGGCGACGCCACGCGTCTGTCAGGCGACCAAAGCAGCGGTGGGTGGAGTGCGGGCCTCCGCACTGCTCACCAGCTCGGTCGCCGTTACGGACGAAGTAAGCGCAGGGACCTAAACCCCCACCGCGCTGACGCGCAGTGTACCACTCACGAAGCTGCTGAGGGGACAGGGTCACACCACTCCGCTGCTGCTGGCGCGGACCACCACCTGAGCCACTCCTCTGCGCAGAGTCGCGACCCGCTCCACCACCGCCGCCGCCGGCGTCGCCTCCGCCGCCTCCTCCACCTCCGCCTCCTCCGCCACCTCCGCCGCCTCAGCTCCCTCCGCCACCTCCACCGCCTCCGCCGCCTCCACTACTGCCGTCGCTGCTGCCACCCCCGGCACCAATCCCACCACCACCCCCACTCCCTCCACTGCCTCCACCATCACCTCCACCGCCCCCTCCAGCCCCTCCAGTGCCCTTGCCCCCCTTGCCCCTGCCGGTGCGGCGCTTCCCGCTCGGGGCAGACGCAGCGCCGGCTGACTCAAAACCAGCGAGGTCGGCCGCAACAGCAGAGGCAACAGAGGGCAAGAGGGGGGAGGGAGAACACCCTTCAAAGACGGGGGTGCGAGGGTCACCACGAGAGGCTCCTACAGCGACTATGCTCTTCTCTATCGCTAGGAGGGCCTTCTCGAGGAGGTCAACGGTGAGAGTGGTGGGGCAAACTGAGAGGAAGTGGTCCCTGACTACGCGGGGAGAGTTAGGGAGCCGGGTGACTATGTAGTAGAGGGTTATGTACATGGGGGGGGGGGGTGGTTCTTGGCGCAGAACTCAGCAGGAAGCACAGAGCAGTAGCGAGTGTCACTAGTGCGGAGGTGCGTGATGAGGTCAGCGACTGTGGGAAAGGCAGCAAGGTCAGGGAAGAGGTACGGTAGCATGAGGCGGCTCACTGCAGTAGTGGCAGGGGATGAGTAGCGTGCAACTACAGCGTCGTACAATGTCTGAGCACTCTTGTACTGGCTAAAGTGTGCACGCTCAGTGGTCGGTAAGTGGCAGCGCACGGCAAGGCAAGCAGCAGCATCGCGCGTGGCCCACTGTGAGCGAACAGCGACGTCACCATCAGCAGCAGGGGCAGGAGAGGCACCAGAAGTGAGGTCAAACAGGGAGAGGCCGTCTGCCCTATCGCACTAGAGAAACAGCTGGAGGTCATCGACCCAGACCTCAAAGTCAATGGCACGGCCTTCAGCATCAAAAGTGAGGACACTGGGGGTAGCCATGACTGCAGTGGCCTAGGAGGAAGTGAGCTCACCAGTCCAAGGAAGGAGGGGCCGGGGAGCACCGGTAGGAACAGCGGCTTCTAGACAGTAGGGCGGCTCAGCGGCTCGGCGGCAGGGCGGCTCGGCTGCAGTGCAGCTTGGCTGCTGGGCGGCTCGGCTGCTGGGCGGCTCGGCTGCTCGGCGGCTCGGCTTCGGGGCGGCTCGGCTGCTAGGCGGCTCGGGTGCTCGGTAGGCGGGCGGCTCGGCTGCTGTGCTGCTCGGCGGTTCGGTTGCTGGGCTGCGGAGCGGTGATGTGGCCGCTAGGGTAGGGCGACGAGGCCGCGGGTGACGGCGACAGGGCTGTGGGTGGCAGCGACGGGGCCGCAGGTGGCGGTAGGGCCGTAGGTGGCGGCGGGGCCGCAGGTGGCGGCGGGGCCGCAGAGGGGCTGAGACGGGGCCAAAAGAGGCCTAAGCGGGGCCGAAAGGGGCCTAGCCGGGGCCGAAAGGGGCCTAGACGGGGCCGAAAGGGGGCCTAGACGGGGCCATAAGGGGCGTAGATGGGGCCGCAGAGGGGCCTAAACGGGGCCGTAAGGGGCCAGACGGGGCCGCGGAGAGGCCTAGACGGGGCCGCAAGGGGCCTAGACGTGACCGCAGAGGGGCCGTAAGGGGCCTAGGCGGGGCCGTAAGGGGCCAGACGGGGCCGTAAGGGGCCAGACGGGGCCGCGGAGGGGCCTAGACAGGGCCGCAAGGGGCCTAGACGGGGTCGCGGAGGGGTCGTAAGGGGCCTAGGCGGGGCCGTAAGGGGCCAGACGGGGGCCGTAAGGGCGGCGCGAGGGGCCTTAGAGGGCGGCGCGAGGGGCCGTAAGGGCGGCCAAAGGGGCCACTAAGGACGGCTTGAGGGTAGGTAGGGCACACGAAACGCGACTCGGGTAAGAGTGAAGCGCGCTCCGGGCAGGAAAAAAAAAAAAAAGTCGTGGTGGGCCCTAGGTAGCATAACCACTCGGGAACCTGCTCGTTACCATGATGAGAAACGAGAATGATTGAACTATGAAAGAGTTGGGTACAAGTACTAACCCTAATTGGGTTGTACCCCTTATGGGCTACCCCACTACAGCCTACACAAATGTATAAGCTATAATGTTCTGACAGCTTAGTAGCCTAGGCCAAGGATAGTCGAGAGAGTTGTTGCAAGAAGGCATGAGTTCACTATGGAGCGAACAATACAAATAGGAAAAGAACATGAATGGTGCACCACCAATAGTTTATGATTACTACACTAAGATATTCTGACACTAACGCATAACCTGCATCAGCTCACCATCTAAGAAAGGTCTTCGTGGCTCGCTCGTATGCGCGATGAGAAGCTGACGGTCCGCGGCACCAAACGGCTTTCCAGTGTGGATCCCGTCTCAGGGAACGAGCTCATAAAATATATTATCAAAACCTTGGTAAAACGTTGTGTTATATATAAGCATGACATAAGACACATAACCTCGATCATCCTAGAAGGTTTTGAGCATCTAAAAGTGATGGGAACATTATCTTTCCCTAATTCTGTAAAAGATTTAGGTGTCAGTTACGCGCTCGCAAAGTCACTCGAGATAACTCTAGAAGAAATAATTGTGAATGCAATCCTATTTGGTGATATAACTAGAATAGCTATAGTAACGCAACAAACTAGGAAATAAACACAACAACGCAAAAATAACATTGAAATAACGAACGACGTACTATCACACCGTCGGCATGCGCCATTGCAACAAGGCGATGGCAGCGATCGAAGCCGCCACATGATCCCGGAAGTGGCTTGTCCGCGGCGTGCTACATGCAAAATATTTAGATATGGAACAATCTCTTTACAAACAGTTCCTCTCCTACCGTGCTCGCGACCTGGAAGTCCTCGTTGTGAGAATTACGGGGGATGAAATGACTAGGCAAAGTGTGGGTACAAGTAGGAAACCTAGAGATGTTGTACCCTATAGTGTCTACCCCACTACAGCCGAGATAGACCATAGCATATAAGTTTGACGCACGCCCATAGGCAAAGTGGGGGAGAACAAGAGGTCACAAGACCAGTCAAGTAAAGCACAGCAAGCTCAGGGTGGATCACAAAGTCACCACACATTTGAAGCACAAGTTCAAGGCCACAAGGCCAGTTCACATGAAGGATTATATATAAAGGTAAACAAGCAAGTGCAGGTATAGATAGATCACAGTACAAACAAGATCAAGAAGTTAGCAAGTGAGGCCAGGTAGGCACAAGACCTAGCATCGTACAAAAGCGCTGATGATCACAAGGCTGAAGTGCCTTGGTAAAGATATCAGCAGTGTTGGCCTGAGAGGCCACGTACGCAAGGCGCAGCTGACCACGCTGCTGCAACTCACGAGCAAGAAAGTAGCAAAGAGCAATGTGCTTCGTTATGTGCTCCAGTCTGTGCTCCCGACACAAGGCCAGCATGGCCTTGTTGTCTACGTACAGAACCGGAGGAGAACGAGGCGGCACTCCTAGGCCAGTCAGTAGGTAGGTGAGCCAGCGTAGCTCCTGTGCAGCCATGGCCCCCGCGTAGATCTCAGCCTCGCAGCTGGAGCCGAGAACAGAAGACGAGCGGGTAGACCGTCACGAAACGGAGCCGGAACCAAGGCTGAAGGTGTAACCCTGTGACGACCGCTGTGTAGCCTGGTTGTTAGCCCAAGAAGCGTCTGCGTGACCAGTAAGGACCACTGGACTCCGCCCTCCAAGCACGAGCCCCATGCCCAACGTACTGCACAAGTAGCGCAACACCCTCTTCGCTGCAGCCATGTGCTCTAGTCGGTGTCTCCCAGGAGCAACATAGCATGCCAAGATGCTAAGAAGGTACGCAAGGCCAGATCGAGTGCAGATCATCAGGTACATGAGGCAGCCAACAAGCTCTGGGTACGGGCCACTCGGCTCTACGGACTCATCCAAAGGCAGAGCTGAGAGCGAGTGGCGAGTAGACAGAGGAGTGGCCTGAGGCGAGGAGTACGTGAAGTCGAAGGGCTAAAGGACCTGCTGCACCATGTGTGACTAAGTCAGGGTAATGGTGCGCCGTGCTCTGTCCCGAGTGATCTGCAAGCCAAGGTAGCTGCGCAACTTACCCAGGTCTGTGCACGTGTGTCTCTTCTGCAGCTTGAACTTCACGTGGGTGAGTCCAGCAGTGTCAGCAGTAGCAAAGACCAAGTCGTTGACGTACACGAGGATGTAGAACGGCGACAAAGAAGTGTCAGTGCGTAGAAATAGCGACGGGTTGGCAGTAGAAGGAGCAAACCCAAGAGCCGCAAGTGTAGTCCTCAGTGTATCGTTCCACTCACGTGGCGCCTGGTGGAGACCGTAGACTGGTCGGTGAAGGCTCCAGTGGGTACCAGAAGAAAACGACCTAGTGAAGCCAGGTGGGCGGGGCAGCCAAATCTCCTCGTACAGGCTACCTTGTAGGAAAGTAGTGCTGAATTCAAGAGAGTGAAGCTCGTAGTCGCGCTGAGCGGCTATATGCAGCACCACCCAAAGAGTGGTCATCTTCGGGGTGGGAGAGAAGGTCTGAAAGTAGTCAACTCCCTGCCGCTGACTGAAGCCTCGAGCCACGTAACGTGCTTTGAAGACAGGCGGAGAACCCGGCGGCCGCTTCACCCTGAAAATCCACATGCCGCTGACGATGTTCGCCCCAGGTGGGGGAACCTCATCAATGAAGGTGCCTGTGGACTTCTAGGAAGCCATCTCTACGTCCATGGCTAACTGCCACTAAGAGGAGTAGGGACCCTCTATCGCCTCTGCGTAAGAGCGCGGAGTCGGGATGTCTGGTGCATCCTGGTCTCCCTCAAGGGCAATTAGCATGGACACGAGATGAGGCAAAGCAGCAGCAAAACACAGGAACTCCTCCTGCCTGTCCTCAAAGACGTCTGTGCTAAGAGCACAGTCACCCCGGACGGACGGAGGACAGACAGACTCAGACTCAGCAACAAGACTAGCGGCGTAGTCTAGACGACAGTGAGCAGCAAAGTCGACAAGCTCAGCAACTAAGGCAGACGCAGCAGTGGACTCAAACGAAGGGTCAGTGACAACAGTAGCCAGGAGACGCGTGACAGTAGGACTGGCAGCACGAAGGGAGTGAGACTCCGGGTCAGCAAGAGCAAGAAGAGAGGACTCTGGAGGGGACGGCAAAGGGACACGCAGTAAAGCAGTGGAAGGACGCAGTGCCATCTGGTGTGTGCCCGAGACCGCAGGAGGACGCTGACGCGGAACACGACGACTAGTGCGAGCAGCACGAACAGGTGACGAAGGACGAGACGCAGGCTCACGACGCCCAGCAAGACTCCCTGTAGGACCAATGTCGGGAGAAGGAGCTGGAAGTGGGGAGGCGGGCTGTAACTGTGACTCGGACTGGACAGGCAGTGGACACTCTAAGGAAGGAGCAGGACTAGTAGAGGGTGGAAGACCAAGAACCTGCTCAAGGAGCGGAACAAGGTACGGCTGTGGCCGCGCAGCACCTCCACAACCAGGAGGGACAGTACCAGCACCCCCAGGGCCGGCTC